ACTGAATCCAGCAGAAAGGGCATTAAGTCCGTCTGGGTTAGAAAACATCAAATATCAGAGGGCAAAACGCTGAAAAGAAGACTTTTTACAAATAATAATGATCCATATCTAAAACTGAGGCTGTACCACCAGGAATGGTTAGAAAAGGAGGTGAACGAGTAAAAACTGATATTCCCAAACCTGACGTAGTAAGTCGCTAACTAGAGAAACTAGCTTCAAGAGGCGGCTCACGCTGTAATCAGCACTCCGGGAGGCTCACGCGAGGCTCACGGGAAGCTTTGTAACGCAAAAGGCAACTACTTTTACCTAAAATATTACGTGAAGAAGCTAGGAGAAGAAGACGTTTTAGGAAAGGTGGCATTTTTACTTTTAATGTTTCAGAATTACTTAAACATTAAAATATTTTAATGCTATGTAAACAGCCATTAGCATTAATATGTCATACTTTTCAAAATATAAATGAAATACAGAAAAGCCAATCCATAAAGTAAAACATAGAACACAATACAGAAGAATTAAGCATGTAATTCTAATACTTATTTTTGTCATCTTGATTTCTGAAAGCAAAGTAGACGTCCCTGTAAAAGCTGGGCCGCTTTAAAGCTGGTTATGTCCCTGGTCCTTCATCTTATCATCAAGAACTATAAGTTGCTAACACCAAAGTTACACTGAGACGTGACTTACTTTCTGACCCGCTACGTTCATATGCATTATTTCACTGAATCTTCAGAGCTATACGGTGGCCCCTTCACAACAGTGCAGGAGCCAAGCTGAACCCTGGGCAGCTCTGGGAGCCTCAGTTACCACGCCCCACCCCTCTCCACCGGCATGGGAGCCAGGCTGAGCCCCAGACAGCTTTGGGAGCCCCGGTGACCATGACCCACCCCACCACCACTGCAGGACTCACACTAAGCACCAGGAAGCTTCAGGTCCTGGCCCTGCGACTCCCACACCATCAGGGGAGCGAGGCTGTGCCCCAGGGAAGCCCCGGATTTTCTAAAATGACAAAACCAAGAAGCAAAATGCAATCTCTGCACTGCACCCCACCCAGAACAAGCCCAGGAGACATGGACATAGAAGAGCTCAGAAGTCACACACCTGAAATCTCTGAAATGATAGCAACTGAAGTAAAGAAACAACTTTAACAGGCCATAGAAGACATCAGATCAGAAATAATCTCTCAGCTAGAAAAAGAAATGACAACCATAATGAAACTATTCAGTGCATCTAAAGAAGAGATAGATGAAATAATAAAGGAGCATAGAAAAATGATGGAAACCATGAATGAATAATACAGGAAAGATTTAGAATACATGAAACAGATTCAGATATCCAGGAAATTAAAACTTCCATCAAAAGCTGGCAAAACCACTTGACTGAAACTGAAGATAGATTTTCAGACCTTGAAGACAGCATTGCAGCTAATGGTCATGAAAGGAAAGACTGGGGGATGGGGATATAGCTCAGCAGCACAAGCGCCTGCCTAGCAAGTGCAAAGTTCTGAGTTCGATTCCCAGTACCCACCCCCCCAAAAAATGAAAGGAAAGACCTCTTAAAAATAACAAGGAATAAGGAAATAACAATTCAACAGCTGCAAGACAAAGCAAAGAAAAACAAGGTAAGGTTAATACATGTCAATGAAACAGCAGAAGTCAAAACAAATGACATAAAAAGAGTATTTGTAGAAGTAATAACAGAAAATTTCCCAAGCACAGAAAAAGAATCTGAAATCTACAGATAAAATGAGGCATATAGAACTCCAACTAGCCATAACCAAAATAGATCTACGCCCAGACATATAATAATCAAGATCTAGGAAATTCAGCAAAAGAACAGAATATTAAAAGCTGTTAGAGAAAAGAAACAAATCACCTATAAAGGAAAGCCCATCAGAATCATGGCAGATTTCTCAACACAAACCATCAAGTCAAGAAGGGCTTAGAGTGAAGTATTTCAGGTCCTGAAAGAAAACAACTTCCAACCCAGATTGATGTACCCTGCAAAACTGTCCCTCAAAATTAATGTAGGGGCTAGGGATTTAGCTCAGCGGCATAGCGCCTGCCTGGCAAGCACGGGGTTGTGAGTTTGATTCCTAGTACTGGAATAAAAAACAAAACAAAAAAATTAATGTAGAAATAAAATATTTCTACAACAAAGAACAACTGAAGACATTCATGATCACCAAACCAACCTTACAAATAGTACTAAAAGACACTGAAAGAGATAAAAATGACCACAATTTCAAGAACAACAAGAGAAAAGAACCACCAGGCAGAGCAAGCAATTAAACAGAAGGAAAAAATAAGGAACCAACAGCAGGAAAATAATATGACAAAGACAAGCCAATACATACCAGTTACAACCATTAATGTAAGTGGCCTCAATTCAACAATCAAAAGAAGCAGACTGGCAGAGTGGATCAAGAAACAAAATCGAACAATACACTGTATACAAGAAACATATTTAACTCAAAAGGAAATTCATAGACTGAAAGGTAAAAGATGGAAACTCTCTTTAAAATGAAAAAAAAAATTTTAAAAATGATACAGTGATAGAGTTTTTAAAACCCAATTCATAAAGAAGAAACTATGGCTCCAAGAACAAACCATTAAAGATGGCCCCTGTTAAATATCTGGTAAAGCTGGGTGTGGTGGCATATGCCTATAATCCCAGCACTATGGGAGGCTGAGGCAGGAAGATCATTGCAAGTTTTGAGACCAGCCTGGGGTACAAAGTGAGCTAAGGCCAGCCTGAACTGCATAGCAAGACCCTGTGCCTCAAAAACACAAAAAAATTTTTTTAAATGTTTAAATAAATAAATAAATACATACTTGGTAAACAGCAACAAAGGAAGCATCTAAACCCATGCTCTCCTGATCCTAAAAGGCTGCTATGGCTGCCTGTGAGTATCAGCTTAACCTATCTTTTTTGGTTTTTTTTTTTCTGGCTTTTTGAGACAGGGTCTCGCTATGCAGTTCAAGCTGGCCTTGAGCTCACTTTGTAGCCCAGGCTGGTCTGGAACTCACAAGGATCCTCCTGCCTCAGCCTCCCAAGTGCTGGGATTACAGGCATGCGCCACCACGTCCGGCCTAGCCTATCACTGATTTACACTAACATGTATGGAAAAACATGAGCCCAGGCCCCAGCACCCTTGAGCATCAAGACTCCCATTGAAGTGTACAATGGGGTCCTCAGTGGAAGAAACAGGCGTTGAGGACTCACTTTGCAGACTGAGTTTGTCATTTCTTATGCCGCAGCGAACGCCTGGGAGAGCTGCTTATTAAGAGAAGAGGTTTACTCGGCAGAGTTTCAGAGCTTTCAGCCTAACAGCTTGGCTCCACTGCTCTCGGGGCTGGGGTGACGCAGGACGTCGGGGCAGGAGCACACAGTGGGAGAAACCGGTTATCTCAAGGCAGGGAAGCAAAGACAGAGCAGAAGTGGCCAGAGTCCCAGTTCCCCTGGACTGGACTCCAATGACCAGAGATCTCCCCCTGGATGCCATCGCGGAAGGCTTCCCCGACCCCCCAGTAAGCAGCACCACACACTGGGGACCCAGACTTTACTAGATGGCCGTAAAGAACAAGAGAAAAGATGAAATCTACAGATTGCTTCTCTGAACCCTCAGTGAGACAAAGATCCAGAAAACAAAACTGGAACGACAATGACAGGTCCGCGAGAGCCGTCTCTAACCCCGGACAGGCAGCCTGCGAATCCCAATGAGCACCATGTAGATGATAACTGCGGGCTAAACAAGCGCTTCAGCAGGTGGAGAGAGCAGCAATCGTCACATGAATGAAAGACGAGTTAGAAAGACCCACGAGCGTTCACCTCCCTGAGGCCACCTCTGCGTCTGTCCTTAGTCTTTATCCGCCTTCCCTGCTGCTCAGAAGAATGGGGTCTCCCCCGTCCTCCACAGCTGGACCACCTCGGTCCACGCTCTGCACCCTCCCCCTCCACCCCGGACTGTTCTAGCAATGATTTCCCGTGTTGCTAGTTTCTTCATCTTTGCTAATGATATTTGCCTCCAACTTATTCTTTAAAATAATATTCCCTCTACCATGTCACCTTTACCTCTTTAACAACCTGATTTTGACCACATCGTTACACTAAAACCCTTCATTTCCCAGGGGCACCCACACTCAAGAACTTAGCACAAACCCTAAATATCTCCGCAGTGTAAAGATGTCATTGTAAAAACACAGCATCCTGAGGGCTTTGGTTTTAGGTATCTGGTATCATACTACGCATAAATGTGCTGCAGCTTAGGGGCTGGGGATTTAGCTCAGTGGCACATTGCCTGCCTGGCAAGCACAAGGTTGTGAGTTCGATTCTCGGTACTGGAAAAAAAAAAAAAAAAAAAGTGGCTGGAACTTGATCTCTTCCTCTCAACATTAGGCTTTTGAGCCCCATCCTCAATGATCTAGGATATGCATTTTATGCTTTATTGACTCAGTCAAATTTTCTGCTACTTGAATGCCTGCAATGAATGAGCACACCCCATGATCGTGCTTACAAGACCTTCTCCAGGGCACATGTCCAAAAGTGAACTGCTGTGCTCTCTGGCACACATATTTACACGTCTACTTCGGACTGCTCACTTCTACTTGCTATACCCATTGGTGTGTGCTGGTTCCCCATCCCCCACACCCTTGCCAATGATATATGGTCACACTAACGTATTTCTGCCAACTTAGTGGGAGGAAATAGAACTGCATCTGATTACATCTGAGGATCAACACTTCATACAATATTCACATAGTGTGTACTCTAGTATCTTACGAGTCTCTGTTTCTTCTTGGAGCTGCCTGGCCATTTCTTTTGCTCATTTTTTTATGGGAATTTTTTATAGCACTTATTCTTTACGATATTCTAAACTCTAACGCTGTGCATGTTACAACTATGTTTATCCATACAGTTAACTTCTCCCAAGCTTTGATATTAGGCCCCAGTCTTTTCAAGAGTGACACAGGTGACCGTGATGTAGAAAAAGACATGAGAAAGTGCTGCTCTAATATTTTAGAAAGTAGCCGGGTGTGGTGGCTCATACCTGTAATCCCAGCACTCAGGAGGCTGAGGCAGGAGGATCGTTGTGAGTTCGAGACTAGCCTGGGCAGAAGTGAGCTCAAGGCCAGCCTGAACTGCATAGTGAGACCTTGTCTCAAAAAGAATAAATAGATAAATTTTAGAAAGTACTAGAGGTAGTGGTGACATGATAAAATTTACAGAATAAACATGGAAGAAGGGCATCATACTGCACTTCTCGTAATTAGCACGAAATCCCAAATACACAATAGGTTAGAAAAAAATCTCACTGTGTATTCATGTTACATTTCTTTAGTTTCTCTTCCAGTTCAGGTAGTTCTCGGAGATCAGCTCCAATAATGGCGTATCTCTCTGAATCCAGCACATGCCCATCTGCAAATGCAAGAAGAGATGATCATTTCAACAGAAATCAATCCTGAGAGTTTCTTTTTTTTGTACCAGGAATTGAACTCAGGACCTTGCGCTTGACAGGCAAGCGCTGGGCCACTGAACTATTTCCAGCCTGAGATCATTTTAATAGATAAAGCGTCTTCAAAGTTAAGGTAACTTATTTTTCTCATTAAAAAAGACATGTTCATTGTTTAGAAAAAGAAAATCACCTATGATAAAGGTAAAAAGGAACCCAAATCCCATCTTCCAAAGATAACTTAGTGTTTTGATGTGTGACATTCCAGCCTTTCGTCCTTTGTTACATTTTTGTTTAACCAGGAACTGAACTCAGAACCTCCTGCTTGCCAGGCAGGTGCTGGGCCACTGAGATGTATACACAAACACACACACAACTCCTTCTCTGCGTGGGTGTAGACACACACACACACACACACACACACACCCTGAACCACGTAAAACCTGTTTTGAAAGCTGCTTTTCCTACTAACAGCAGCATCAGGAATGTCAATCTCTATAATGATTTTACAGCATTCCGCTGAGTGGGAAGCAACATAATTTATTTAGCTAATTCCTCAAAAACAGATATGTAGTATTTCCAAGTTTTCTCTAAGCCAGCTGCGGTGGTACACACCTGGAATCCCAGCACTGAGGAGGCTGAGACAGGGGGATCACCAGTTTGAGGCCAGCCTGGGTTACACCGTGAGTTCAAGGCTAGCCTGAATTACATAGTGAGACCTGCTTTAAAAAAAAAAAGTAAGCTGGGCATGGTGGCTCACGCCTGTAATCCCAACACTTGGGAAGCTGAGGCAGGAGGATCGTTGTGAGTTCAAGACCAGCCTGGGCTACAAAGTGAGCTCAAGGCAGCCTGAACTGCATAGTGAGGTCCTGTCTCAAAAACACACAAACAAAAGTAAACAAGTTTTCTCTATCTTAGGTACTGCAATGAGCATCACAGTATATACTCATAAAGGACCTGTCTAGTTAGTTCCTTAAAGTAAAATGTTCAGCGGGATTAAGAGATGAAGTGTGTGCCTGGTTAACTGAACACCGGTGCCCACTGGCGGGCAGCCCTCTCCGTGCCACACCAGTCTGTGACTATGTTTTGCCTAAAGCAAAACAGCCTGTGTATTAACGCCTTTGCAAATACACGACGGCACCTGTGCAGAACAGCCCAGCAAGGCGGGGCGGAACGTGTGCGCAGCGGGCCTCAAGCTCTGGCAGCCATCGGTCACCTGGACGGCCTGCAGGAGCTCAGACCACAGGCTGCAGGCGTTTCAGATTCCCTAGGTCTTCGCATAACGGGCGCCTGCATTTCTAACACACTCCCAGGTGTGCTGACGCCGAGTCCGGGACTGAGCTTTCGGGAGTCCCGGTGCCCACGACGTGACGCTGGCAATAAACTTGGGAGCTGAGGGCACAGGAGCTCGCGGAGCTAGTCCCGTGTCTGCGCGTGCCTGGAACGTCCTTCCATTTTTTGAAATCAGTACAACTGTGTAGCACACAGTGCTCGCGTTCCTTGTGGGGAGTCGGCACATGCACACAGCATCCTAACTTTTTTCATCCCCCTTCCCCTTCCTCCCTCCCCACCTTCAGCCGTCTCTTGACCCTCCTCCTCGATTTTTTCTTTTTCTGTACGTGTATGCAATTTTAGCAGAACAATATGGTTTGATTATTTACTGCAGGCATTACTCTCAGCTTTCTCAACGGCACAGACCGCAGGGCTGAGGGGCGAGGGGAGTGGTACGGTATCACTCTTGTAATTCAGGTTCTCTTGACCCTCAGAACCCTGCACCAAGAAAAAGAAAAGAAAAAAGAACTACGCCAGGCACGGTGGGGCACACCTGCTACCCCAGCACTCGGGAAGCTGAGAAAGGAAGATGGAAGGAGTTCAAGCCCACCCTGAATTACGTTGTGAGACTGTTTCAAAACCCTGAAGTAAAATAGAAATTTTTTAAATATGGAAAAGGGCTGGGGAGGTAGCTCAGCGCAAGGCTCTGGGTTGAATCCCTGTGCCGCACCAAGAGAAAGCTGAACTCTAACACGTAAGGCGGTTCTCCCTTACAGTCTTCGTCTACCCCTTTGGCTGCTTCGCCTGATTCAAACACAGTAGGCCACTCACTGCAAGCTGAAAGTACCTCCTAGGAGCTTCTTACATGGCAAGAAGGCAAAAAAGGGCAAAGAGGGACCCCGAAATCTGCCCTGGGAGCCACAATGCCCCAGCCAGGAAAATAATATGAAGTAGATGAGGCACTGTTAGGAAGACAAACAATTCCTTCATGTGTGCCTTTGCGCAAAAAACAAATATAGTAATAACGAGTTTGTTGCAAATGAGATTTTCCACTCCTGACCAGAAAACCCAAACAAACAAAAGCATTCACCAGATATGTGAAGCGCGCAAACAGTAGTACGTGCTTTCAAAACAGCGGTGCAGAAGTGGCGAGCAGCTAGCTCAGGGGAGACGTGACTCGATTAGGGTCTCAAGTCAGCGTGTACAGCGACCACCACGCCGCGTCACGATTATTCCTAAACCGAGCGAGAGGGACAGCAGACGTGAGCGTGGACGGCGACCTGAGGCCAACCTGAACCTGGGCCACAAGTGGGCACGCAGGAAGAGGAAAACACCGGCGAGGACCCTGAAGGCCGCCCTCGGACAGGACTCGAGGACCGGATGGACACACCCCCACCCCACCGCTCAGACGCTCCCTCCGCGTCGGCCTGCCCCCGCCGTCTGGAAACAGGAGGCCCGCGGTCTGTCCTCAGAGACCACCTCACCACTCTGCAAGAAGTGCGGGCATCTGCGGAAGGCACAGGCCGAGCGCGTGCTCCACAGGCGTTTTAACATTCTGGGGAAATACGCCCTTTTTACGGAAATTTAGCACTGGCCACAGACCATGGCGCAACAGAAAAGCCTGGCACGTTAGTTTCTGAGCGCTGGTTAGAAAAATAACTTCTCACCAACACGAGAATCATAATGCCTTCCTTTTCTCCTCAGTTCTATTTGATAAGAAAAACATGGAAAAGAGCTCCCAGTGCTTCGTGTGACACAGAAAGCCTTTCTAACGGAATGGACACAGCCAATTCTGGGAAGGCACTTTACACTGACTTATAATCTCTGTGTTGCTACTAGTGGTTCTTTCTGTGATCAACACTTCTTTAGAGGACTCACTTCTAAGAGGATTTATGCAGAAGAAACCCTGAAAGTAAAAACACAACAGTAAGATTTAAAAATTAAGAAGCAATTTATACATGGCCGGAATGAAAAGACAGTTATGAAAATCCTGGTTACACAGGCTTGGCCATCCTGCAACTAAGACGATAGTTCCTGCAGAGGGCAGCGTGGCTGCTAGGGAACACGTGGCAATGTCTGAAGACACAGCCCCAAGGGCACTAATGCCAACTAGAGGGCCAGGCCCCCGGACGCTGCCAGACGTCCTACAATGCGCACGACAGCCCCGCCACGGAGGATGTGGCCCTGTCCGTCCACAGGGCCCACAGTGAGGAGCTTTGTGGTAAACTGACACACACACACTCAAGGTCGCTTGTCAGTACTCGCTTGTCAAAAATCTTCAGTAAGGATGAAGCGAGCTCAAAGCCAGCCTCCGTCAGCTTACCAGGACCCTATCTCAAACGTTTTTAGAAAGAGCTGGGGAAGGCAGCTTCATGGTCGTGTTTGCTCAGCTCACTGAGTGCCCGGCTCAGGCCCTGGGTTCGGTCCCTGGCACCATGAAAAACAATCTTTTAGTCCTAACTGTTCCCTGATAGAGCAAGTAGAAAGGTGCAGAGTGAAACCCTGGCCTTGCTCATGCGGAGCCGGTCTGTGTGGCTGGACCACAGCTACGGCGGACGAAAACATACTCAGGAGGCACACGGAGGCTTGACGGGCCATGTGGGTCTGATTCAGTGGGAGGTTTAAGAAGGGAGGTAAGTCAATCCTGATTTCCTTCTTAAAACTTTATTCTAGCCGGGCATGATGGCGCACGCCTGTGATCCCAGCACTCGGAAGGCTGAGGCAGGAGGACCGTTGCAAGTTCAAGACCAGCCTGGGCTACAAAGTGAGCTCAAGGCCAGCCTGAACTGCATAACGAGACCCTGTCTTAAAAAGGCAAAAAATATAATAAATAAATTTTAAAAAAGAAAAGAAAAAGAGAATTGAAACGCAGTTAACCATATTTATTAGAATTCATAACCTTCAATTCTCTGAACTAGCAACTTCTGAAAACACACACATACATATATTTGCTACAACATTATTTAATATAAAACCATTAAAAAGGCAGCAATCCAAATGGAAATCGATAAGGAATAGCTTAATGAAATTTGCACATAAAGGAGTATCATAAAGCCATTAAAAATAGTAAGACAGACTGATATTCTTGCACATTGAAAGACGGTCATGATTTATTAGGAGATGAAAAGCTACAAAACAATGTAGATGAATTATTCACTGCTTATTAAAATTGCATTAAATAGATGTATAATGGAGATTCAAAGCCTTCCCTGCAGACCATGTGCTGACAGCAAAGCGTGTGGAGAACGAACAGCGGAAGTGGTGAGAAAGAGAACAGCCCGGCAAGTGGCCAAAGCGGAACAGGTGCTGCTGGCAATTCCGCCTTCGCTCCTCCCCCGGCCAGGGAGGACACTGCGTGCTGACCACTGGACTCCAATAGAGGAGGAGGACTGCTGCACTACGGTCGTGCTGAACCAGTTCACCTCCTTGCCTGCCCCTGACTAGACTACCCGTGCAGGCCACCCTCTCTGAGCACGCTTCAGGACGTGAGAGATTCCTGGAATTTCTCCGTCAGACACAAACTGAACACAATGGAAGACTGTGGTAGAGAATCCTTAAAACAAAATTTGGAAAGCTAAAAAATGAAGGAAGTGGTGTTATAAACATTCATAGTTCAAAGCCAGGCGTGGTGGCGCACGCCGTAATCCCAGCCTGGGATTACATTAATCGGGAGGCTGAGGCAGGAGGATTGTTGCAAGTTCGAGACAAGCCTGGGCTACAAAGTGTGCTCAAGCCCAGCCTGCATCACAAGACCCTGCCTCAAAAAGACAAAAGAAAAAAAAATTCACAGTTAAATGTTGGGCAGAATGCTGACTGTAGGAGGCAGGATAGGGCACTGTGAAAAGATTCCGAACACCCTCAGGGCCCTGGGCGCCCAGACAGATGAAAGATGACACAAATGGAGCCGGTCAAGTGTAAGCCAGCAGAGAAGCGCCTCCACTAAGTACTGCTATGCAGTTTCTAATACGGCCACGTTTTGATTTTTCCAAGCAAAGCTGAACACTGAGATTTTCATGAGAAATCTGTTTTTGAAGTACTGGTAACTAACCCAAAGTCATTCATAAAGAAAATTTAACACTGGAGGCCTGAGAACACCTAAGAAGAGTCACACACAAGTCATACGAGAAACTCAAACTATACATAATAAAGAGCAAAATAAAAGATAGGCAATAGAAAGCAGAGAGATCTTTTTCTTTTTTTTTTTTTTCTGGTTTTGGTTTTGGTTTTTCTCCAGTACTGGGAACCGAACTCACAACCTTGCGCTTGCCAGGCAGGCGCTTTGCCGCTGAGCTAAATCCCCAGCCCCTCAGAGAGATCTTTTTCAAATTGGAAGGGCATCAAGAGATGGAGCGGGGAGGGAGCAAGGATGAAGAAAAGCCCGACATCTGTGACGGGTGCGGACCAACTCCCCACAAGGAGTAGAACCATCAGGTAAGGCAAACGTACCGAGAAATAAAACTGTAAAAGATAAGAATAAAAAAAAAGGTGATTTAAAAATTCCTTCATGGTACCAGGGACAGACGCATAAACACGCAGCAGAGAAGAAGAACGTTTGGATAACACAACACACACATCTTTCAGAAGGCGAAGACAGCAGGAATGTTCCGTGGCCCACGCTGTGCTCCTTAGGTGGAGGCACTCACCCATGCGAAGTGTGTCCTCTGAGTGCAGCTCTGCGATGGGCTTGGCTAGAGCGGGCTTGTTTCTGTGACGGAAAAGAGCAGGAAGAAAGGTCAGTTTACCCATGAGCTCAGCAAACTGAACGCCAGCGCCCACTGCAGAACCGGCAACTGCAGGATGACTACTCCTTATCGGAAATGCTCGGGACCAAAACTTGGACAGGTTCCAACGTTCAGATTTGGCGACGCCGGCCCTGCACGGGCCTCTCCAGTTCAGTACCCCTAAGCTGACAAGACGCTCAAAAATGCTCGGATCCAAGCACTTTGGATTTCAGATTTTGGAGCAGAAGGTTCAACCTGTATATACTGCTACAGCTTTTAAAACAATTATATTTGACTCTATACACATATAGTGAAAATTCAAGATGCCCAGGTCTCAGGTCAGTCAGCTCCGCATCATGCTTGGCACGTGATACCCAAGGACACATCAGTCATGAAGTAAATCCACTCAGAAACAGGTAACGCTAGGCTAGCAAGGATTTTCTGTGTTTTGGGGCCATCTCTAGCTCCTTGCTTATTCTCAAACAAAAACTTTAAGACAGTTGTGCTTTGTCGTAAGTTACCACAAGGACTGACCTTTAAACCAGAAGCTTTGCAACACTTATACCCTAAGTCCCTTACTCCAACAAATGCAAAAAATCATAAATTGGGAACCAAATTCAACATCCCAACAAGCATACACACACACACCGATCTGTTTTTCCTCCCAGAAAACCATCTCAGGGATGAATCCAGCCCCCACTCCCCCCATTCCACTCGCCACTCCCAACTGAGTAGCATTTTGCAGTTCCAAAGGCATCAGATTTTGCCTTTTTTATTTCCAAGAGAAGATTCAATACAAAATATAATTTACATGAGGCAAAACTGAAAAACTTACTTTCATAGTACAGACTAGAGGAAATAAAGCTTAAGAAACAGTTCTGACTTGAAAGGCTTGGTATCTTTAAAGCACTAGCAAAAATGTTTACATCTGTTCCTCTTCTTTAAATATAAAAATCAGGATTTAATTAAATGACTAATTTGGGGGGACAGTGGTAAAAAGTAATAAAAACTACTGCAAAGCCTTGACCAAGGGCTCAAGCCAGGGCTTAAATCTCAGCTCCACTCTTTAAAATTGCCCAAGACGGACTCCTCCTCTGCAAAAAGCGGGCAGAAACAGCACTTATGGCAACCCGAGGGAAGCACTTAACACAGGCCTGGACAAAGAAAAGCTCTCAGCAGCCAGGAGGGGCTGAGGAGGGGGATCACTGTGAGTTCGAGACCAGCTTGGACACAGAGTGAGACGCTGTCTCTAAAACAGCAAATAAACTAACGAAGACAGGCTCTCAGAAAAGGTTAGCACACTTGTCATCTACAGCCATGCAAACGCCTTGAAGACTGGACTCAGAACGGCTTAACTATAATCTCCTCTTATATATGCAGTTACACACACAAAAAGTCGCCGCACCTATTCTGGGTCAGGTTCCTTTCCACGTCCTTGGGATAAAGAATTAAACGAAACACACATAAAATTTCAAATTATTCATCTATGATAATATACCCTTCCACTGCTCAGAGAAACTGCACTAACGGACAACTGAGTCACAACACAGGGAGGAGTGCCGCATGGCGAGGGCCGCACGGCACACTGATCGCGGATCCAGAGCAAGAACAGGAGGGGAAGTGGGGCCAACGCAAAGCAGCGCCCTAAGACGCGACCTGCAGCACTCACACCTGCCAGCTCGCGAGACCTGGGGCTCAGCGCCCCCTGGCAGCTTCTCCCCCAGCACAGCAGCACTTACTTGATGTTGTGGAGCTTTCTCCTGACTATCGTTGGGAAGTCAACTTCAAAGTATTTGCTTGGGAGAAGATCTTCATCCTGGGGGAAGAAAACTGTAAAATTACTTTTTCACTCACAATACCTACTGACTGTTTTCCACGTATTCAGGCCCAGATGCCTAACAGCAAGAGGGTTTTAAGGATTTTAAGTCAGAGAATGACACCGTCAGAGATGAACTTTTCAAGTTATTTTGGTCTCACAGCAAGAGAATGGGTCTACGAGAAGCAAGAATGGATGTAGTGGAAAAATTAGGAGGCTTCTGCTGTCGTTCAGGTAAGAAGGTCCAGGAGCTGGAATTAGAAAAGGGGTGACTAAGATGGAGGTGAGGGAGACGTGAGGAACTCGGGACGTAGAACACACAAGGGGTGTGTTTAAGTAAAAATAAATTTATTACCGTGGAAGACAATGCCATTAATCTCCCTTAACCTCCCTCTCTCTGAACATACATATCCCATTGTTCTTGCCTCTTTCTGAAGCAATTCTGGAAGTCCTCTTTCATGAGTGTCTTCACAAGGTGTGGGCAAAAGGCCAAAGAATGCCATACCAAGCGCCACCCAATGGAAAGGCAGGCACGTGACATTACAGTGTGGCCTCAGCTACCTGGGTCATCAGTTCTGGCACGGTGGGACTTCTGGCCTTTCCCCCAGAGTCAAAATGAGCATGAAAGGCAAATGTTCTGAATCAACTCAGGACCTCAAGGAAGCCACCAAGCACAGCTAAAGACACCCACGAAAGCAGACGTCCAGAACTGCTTCACAAAGTGGCAAGCATGGTGGGATTAGTGCGTTCAAAGAGGGGGAAGTATTTCAAGAGTGATTCATGGCAATGCGTTTTTTACATAATAAACTTTTTCAAAACATTAAATAATCCTTGTATCTTTTATTATACCTTATACACAGTGTTCCAAAAGCAACTTGAGACAATTTAGAGAGAGTCAGGGAATCAATACAATGAGTTCTGAGCAGCGTTTTGGGGATAAAATAATGTAAAATTACTACTATGACAGCACTGCATGTGATGGCACACACCTATAATCCCAGCACTCAGGAGGCTGAGGCAGGAGGATTGTTGCAACAAGACCAGCCTGGGCTACAAAGTGAGCTCAAGGCCAGCATGAACTGCGTAGCAAGACGCTGCCTCAAACACACACACACACACAAACACACTCAGACACACAAACCCTGCTATGAGAAAGCCCCACACAGAGTGAGGGCGAGTATTTCTCGGCTACCATCCTTCTGTGACAGCCCAGTATCGTGCGGCACTTTGGAGCTCCAGGGCAGGGCCTGAATCCACACCCGCTACTTACGGGCTGCGAGGCCCGGCAGAACCGCCTAATGCGCTGGGAACAAGGGGTCTCCATTTAAAAAGTGGGGAAAACGGTAACACCTCAGAGGGTTGTGAGGATTCCTGGGGGACCCACGGGGACACGCAGAGGAGGACCTGAGCCCGGTAAATACCCTTTGGTGCCTTTTCTTACAGACACAGGTGTGGAGATACGGGTCCTGGCTCTGGATCCAACCCTGCTTTCTCAGTGTGGGCCGCAGTGAGACGCACACACACACCCTGCTTCTCTTCCTGCCCTTCCTGGTGTGGTTGGCGGCTGTAACCCCTGTCCAGCGACCCCCAGGCCATCCTCGCCTTCTCTCCGCCCTCCCCACGCCTCTGTCACCCATTCGCTGCTCACACAGCCGTGCTGGCTCGACCCAGTTCCCTCCACTCCTGCCCCACTCCGTCACCTCGTGCCCCGGCGGTGACGATGCCCACCTCGCCTCGCAGCGGCTCCTGCGCATCACCTCTGGGGACCCTGAGACTTTGCAGGAACAAGGCCCAGGCTCCCCTCGGCGCTCCTGCTGGGCTGCTCTTACGACCCCTTACATTTTTTACAAGAAAGGAGAACGGGAACCACTGATACCCTGAGCGCGGTGACTGTGAGCGCCACTGGTGCGGGGCGTGATGAAGGCAGAGGCAGAGGCAAGGAGGATACCCGTGAGCGACTGAGTACACAAGAGAACCACCTAGGAGCCAGTGACACAAAGGCAGACCAGGTATGGGGGCGCAGAGGAACACTCAGCTGAGGCAGACACGTCAAGGACAGCAGAACAGGGGCGGGAATCACCACCGATTTCGGGCAGGACAGTGACCCTCAAGCACGAATATGTAAGATCCAACTACGCCCACCCACAGGGAGGCCGGGCCTCAGCTGCAATCCCAGGGGAGCTGGCGGGGGGCTCACTTTTCTGAACTGGGAAGACTGTCTCCTGGCATGCACGGGGAGACCTGGGCCCATGACGCTCCCCGGGCCACACCTGAAGGCACAGCTCACGCTTACAGCCTGCGGAGGTGGACTTAGCAGAAGCTACTCAAAGGTTTGGAGGGTGCGTGTGGAGGAGACAGGGAAGTAACTTGTGCTAGGAAACCTGAGACTGTTTAAGAATGCCTACTGGAGGCTACGGCTGCATCTGGCAAAGCACACACACAGCAAGCAAGAGGCCTCGGGTGCAATCCCATCAGGTACAAAGCAGCATTCCTTTCTGCATGCAAGAAGCTCCGGCTCCCCTCCCCGGCACGTAGGCAGTACAGGAAGTGAAGGGTCGCCTAGAACTCCAGCGGACAGTGAAAACAACGAAAGACAAATGCACGGATGGCGGAGTCCTCCGGCTGGCACAACGGCTTCCTCACTCAAGGGCTGGCCAGGCGCCCGCTCACCGGAGCCGCCTGAGAATCCGGAGTGAGCAGCACGGCAGAGCGGGCGCTGCTGAAAAGCACCTGGGAGCCTTCGGGAAGCAGCTTCCTCCTCGGCGGCACCGGCAAGTGATGCCTCAGGTTTGGACGCTGTGGTTTCCCCTGGCCTTTGACGTTTCACTTGCAGAGTCCGTGTGTCACGGGCTGGCAGGGAAGCCTCCCGGACTGGCCAGTGAGCACCAGTAACAGAACACCGTTCGCACACAGAGGAGATGCGACACGGCGGGCTAGTTCACAGACCGCCAAAACTGACGCTGCCTCCCCTACACACCTGGTCCTTTGTGTGCAAACAAGACCCCAGGGACATCAAGCAGCTGAGGAATGCCAAGTCTAGCGGTGCACGCCTGCACTCCCAGCACCCGGGAGGCTCAGGCGGGAGGACTGGTGCAAGTTTGAGGTCAGCCTCGGCTACATAGCTCTCTCAAAAAAAAAAGCAGCTGCAGCACCTTAAATGGTTTCATTTACCCCTTCCTCCTTTTGCAGATGACACCTGCTCTCCTACAGATGCGACTCTCCAGCCATACAAGCCTCGGCCCTCAGGTCACACAGGAGCTCACGCAGCGGTGGCAACAGAGAGCCTGTGACTCACAGCTAAACCTGTGCAGGTACAAGAAGGGAACCTTCCCAGGGGGAGGTGTGCAACACAGTCAGATCACGGGCAAAGCTTTCCCTACACTCCTATGGAAACACATATCTCTAAAAAAAAGATGGGCAAACACTTTCTGAAATGAGCCAGAAAATACGTATTTTGTGCTCTGCAGACCAGATGGTCTGTGCTACAATCACTCAGCTCTGCTGTCATCATTGTCATATGGCTGCTAAACCACAAACTGCAAACAAATGCACATGGCTGTGTTCCAATAAAACTTTATTTACAAGAAACAGGTGGTGGGCCAGACTTGGTCCATGGCCTACAGTGTGCAATTTCTGCTCTAGAAGAACAGACAAGAAAAATATCTATAAATATTTCAGAAGAAACTTTGGACCCTTTCTCCCTGACGAAGAGAACGAAATGCTTCAGGCAATCCAGTTTCCAATAAAAAATAAAAATTTCACAAAGGACTTTCAGACATTGTAATTTTCCTTCCTTGCTACTGATAAAACGATCTTTTTTTTCTTGGAAGATGGACGTTCATCTCAACGTACACTGCTCAGAAATAAAAAATGTCAGACTTATTAATTATGCACCCACTACAAGATGGGGACAAAGATAAACCATGGGACCGGAGGCCTCGGGCCCAGTGAAGAGATTTCTCCACAGGCCCCGTCAGCACGGCACAGCGCGGCCCCTCCGCAGAACCTGCCCAAGTCCTTACGCTGCACCACGAGACGCTACATTCCAATGGCACAGCAGGCCTACACAAAAGGGAGGCTGTCAGCAGCAACACAATGCGTCCCACGGCGCCCACGAGGGGACACACAGGTAACGCGTCGGGGACCGGGGCTGACGCGCTCACTCCCAGGTGTGTCCTGGGAAGACACCACCTCTCGCAACCCTGTCCCCAGGCGAGACCCCCCCTCGTGTTCTCACGTTACTCACGAGGTCAAGCGCACACAGGCATTTCACACAAGTGATTCTCTACAAGAACGCACAGGCAGCCAACGAGCCCGGGACCGCACGGAGGCCGCCGGCCTCTCCTGCAAGGAACAGGCCTGCGAATGCTGACGACCGAACACGTCCTTGTCAGGCGAGCCGACTGGGGACAGAAACCCTGCAGGTCGTGTGGCTCCACACACTAATTTCTCTTGGTCCGTGCCTGCAAGGAGTGTGGGGAAATGGACATACAATCGCCGCCACATGACCGACCTCACGGGAAAAACAAGACAAATCTACACAAACCTACAAGAGAAAATGCAAGCAGGGCGAAAACTGCGGGGCCAAGGGTTAGCAGTGAGAACCGAGGCTGGGGGTCAGAGAGCAGCTCTTCACCCCGGGTCTTGCCGCGGCCTCGAACCACACTCATCTCCTCATGAGCGTGCGCATCAGAGCTGCTCCCAAACCCGACGGGGAGTCGGGGATGCGTGAGAGAAAACCACACGAGGACTTCGCCTCCCAGCATCGCCCCTCAGGCTCGCCCCCCTCCAGGTGTCACCCAGCATGCTTCCTTGCGGACCATGGACTTGTTATTGTCAGATGACGGATACGCGGGCACTCACCCAGCAGCTCCGCTGGGCCCACACGTCCCGAAGGAAAGCTATGGAATCTCATTATAATTCCACGTGTAATGGAGCACAAGGAACCACCTCATCTCACAAGGGCCCTAGTGCGCTAAGAACACGGGACAGAGGGTGCGGGCAGGGCTGGGAGACAGGAGGTCAGTGCCTGCCTTTTGGGGGATTTTTAAAATCTGGAACCAGGCAAACACATCTGAGCAATGAAGCAGAAGTCATCGGGGAGGTGACAGGGAAACACCAACTTACCTTTAACTTCCAGAAGGTGGTATCCATCCCAGCCCCGAGGTTGAGAATCTGACAGCGACACTCTGTCTTCCGGAGGAAAGCTTTTGTAAGCTGGCTGACACCCTGGACTCGAGCAAAATAGCCTTAAGAGAGGACCAGAGAAACAAGCCGTCACCAGGGAGCCCGCCAAAGCCCAGCCCACCAGCGCCAGGGGCCGTCAGGCGTCCCCAGCTCTGCAACACTGGTTAGAAAACCTGTCTGCAGACCACAGGAGAGTGACAGCAAAGGAGTAAGCTCTCGTCTGAAGGCCCGCTGCTTTTAAAACCTCTTTGCATTTCTTCCAGAACTCAGCCACAGGCCCTACGTTAGGGGCCCAGATTCCCTGGAGACGAGAGAACCACAGTCCCCCAGCCAATCTCTCCGCGGGGCTGAGGATACATCACGCTCCTGCCTCGAACCCTCGGACTTCCTAGATGGAAAGTACTCAGTGACGCTGCTAACATTATAATACCTCCCGTGAACAGCTCACAATAAGTGACGCCTAAGTGAGGTTTTGGGTTTTTTGGAGGTGGGCTTGGTTTTTGAGACAGGGCCTCGCTGTACAGCTCAGACTATCCTTGAACTCACTAATTAGCACAGCCCGGCCGTGAACTCTTGGGGATTCTCTCGCCTCAGCCTCCCAAATGCTGGGATTACAGGCGTGCACCACCACACCCGGCCATGAACATAGGAAAATGACATGAGATTATCCAATAAAATGTCAGTAACATATTGTTTTTCATGTATGTTAATAAAGATTAAAAAGTTGCACAGCACATCACGCTGGTAATTAAGACATAAGACTATTCATCTTCTGCTCCCTTTAAGAAAGGGTCCCTCAAACCTAAGGCCTCCAGGTGACAGAGAAGTGGGGGGTGGTACTTGCCTCTGTTAATCTCAGGGGCCTTCCTCTCTTTACACGGTCTCACGAGGTGCTCGATGTAGGGGTCGTGCCAGTAGCCAACGCTTACTGCATACCTGAAAGAGACGCAAAGGCCGCAGGAAGCAGAGATTAGTGCAGGCACAGTCTGTAGGAACCGACTCGGTTCCTACCCAGGTCTTCCACCGCCAAGTTCACGGGAACCAGGTGGAGGGTCCGGAGGAAAAACCAGGTACTAAAAGGCCAACACAGTAAACGCGCGTGTAGTACTCTGTCACACCTTGGCAGGGGCCGGGCTACTGAGGACGGAGCCCAAGGCCTCCGCCTGAGCTCACCCCAGCTCTTTTCTGAGGCAAGGTCTCAGTAAGCTCCCCGGGCCGGACTCACACTTGTAATCCGCTGCCGGCCTCCCAGGGTGAAGGCACCAGCACTGCGCCAGGCTCCTCCCACCCTTCCAGACTCCTCCCCTTCACACGCTCATCACACCGCCCATCACGTTTCCCACGGCCGTCACCCCTCCCGCCCTTCAGGTTCTACTTCTACTCCCAGCGCCCGAACCGCTAACCACCTCAGCGCACACTTCCTGGAGAAGACCTCGGAGACCACAGTGAGGAAAACAGCGACACGTACGCGAGAGTCCTACAGCTCAGAAAACACCACGACGGCCGACTCGGTTCCTACCCAGGTCTACGCTGCAAAGAGGCAAAGTTCCCATGCTCTGCGCCCGGGATCGGACACCACGGCTACCCCTGATAACCTCCTGGCAACCGCGAGGAGACCCACGCCTGTAGCCTACGCTACCTCTCAGGGTACGGTTTATGAGACGATAAGTATCTTCACCATTTCTGAGGCCTGAGTCAGGCTTCTGTTAGTCACAGCCTAAATCATCCTAACTGATGCCTCAGTCCTATCTCCACTTCCACGTCCCTGGATAACAAAGCTGAAATCTAAGGGGCGGGGCGTGTTCCATCTCCCAGTGGATTCCTTTCTTTATGGTACCGGAGACTGAATCTAGGGCCTTCGCACTGAGCTACAGAACAGCACCACTGTTTATTATGAGAGAGGGTCTCATTATGTCACTAAGTTACCCAGGGTACCCATATCAGGACATACCGGCTGTGCACTGGAACTTGTGATCCTCCTGCCTCAGCCTCCCAAAGTGAAGCGATTATAGGCGTGAGCCTCCCTGCTACAGTCAGCGCTGAAGGGCTGGGTGTGGTGGCACACGTCTATAATCCCAGCACTTGGGAGGCTGAGGTAGGAGGACTGCTGTGGGTTTAAGGCCAGCCTGGGCTACGTAAGCGAGTTCAAGGCCAGCCTGTACTACATAGTAAGACCCTGCCTCAAAAGTAAAAGAATACAGTCAGCACTGAATTGCGTACCAACGTCTCTCTCATCACGTACAACCATAAACACGCATGAGGGACGACATGGCTTGGCTGTTCAGGGGAGCAACTCTACAGAGCAATCAGCCCACTAGGAGACAACATTTGCTACGTAAGTCCAGGCTGCTAAAAGGACCACAGAACGCTCACACTTTAATAGCAGTAAACACGCTTAGTTATCGGAAAGTGTTTTCCAAACAGTGAGTTGTGAACTACAGTGACATAAAATCAGAAAGTGTGCAAACCTGCATTTTGTAAAACATGAAAGAGAACAGGGTAAACCAGAAAATATTAGCATGCGTCACACACGGTGAGGGTAAAGGCTGTTTCCCGCCAGCTTCGTTTGAAGTGTGTGTTGGAGGCCGGGTACTACTTTCCCGAGGCCGGAGGAGGAACACTTTCAAAGGAGTCTTCTAGCGCCACCTAGTGGTAAATGCCGTATCTTACAGCTGAGGCAAGAATGGTTCTTTCCCACAGGGAGAGGCGTTCTAGCCTGCAGGGTTGCTAACTGCAGCTCCCCACTGTCCGCACAAGCAGCCAAGGCACAGAGGCTCGGGGCACAGTGCTGGGAGCGTGGGAAGAGGCGGCGTCCGGCACCAGCGCCGAAGCTCTGAAGGGAGACGTGTCCCACTTCAGGACACGCGGGCTGTGCCCCGGAAAGTAAGATTACAACACTCCTACAGTGACACACTGGCCAATCACTTAAAATAAAAAGCAGCAGACAGACGTGGCAAGGTGCTCAACAGAGGTAAGAGAAAAAAGGGAGACCAACAGCATATGAGGTGGGATTCAGAACAGTGACGGTTTACGTTTTTAAATTTACCACAGTGAAAATCATGTCGCCGTCAATCCCCGCAACATAACCTCCTCACCTCGAACACGCCTGTCCCATCCTTCCTGCCACTTGGAGCAGCAGTGCGGAGGCCCTCGCTCACGTCTTTCACTGCGCTTTCGCGGTTACCTTGATGTCCTAACCGATACCAGACACTGACACTTCATGGTCATGCTGACTTTGGGGAAGACCAGAAATTGCATAGTGACAGATCGTACACACACATATATATACACCCATGAACACATCTGTGTGGTTATGTTCTGCAAATGTATTCATGGGTGTGTGTGTGTATATGATTGAAATATAGGGTGAATGCTTAAATTTTTAAAAATTTATTATCGTAAAAGGCGCTTTGTCATTAATCCCCCAAAATACACCCCTCACTTTGATCACTCTTATCCCATGCTTTTCCTCTTTCAGAAGCAGCTCTGGTAGTCCTCTTTCATGAGTGTCTTTACAAGGTCTGATCAAAAATACAGTGAGTGCTGTGCCAAGTGCCATGAAATGGAAAGGCAGGCTCATAAAAACACGAGGCTGTGTCTCATCTACCTTGTCACTGGATCTGGCACCACGCAATTTCTGTAATCCCAGCACCTGGGAAGCTGAGGCAGGAGGATCACCTTGAGTTCAAGACAAACCTGGGATACACAGTGAATTCAAGGACAGCCTAAATTACATACTGAGACCCTATCTCAAAACACACACACACACACCCCAAAAATTTGTACACAAGTCACAAAAGAAACCAGTGATCAACTACACAAAAATTTCAGCCTGCATGATCCAAGAAAATACAAAATAAAAGCAAAAATGCGAAGCGGTACTTCTACCAAATTGCAATAACGGTACTTTTCAACAGAACTTGAGTTTGGAGAGGGAGGAGGGGCAGGGTGCTGCAGCAGCACCAGCAGAAATCAGCTGGCAATCTTGCCGCAAGGCACTGTGGGAACAAGGGCACACAGTCTGGAGTACATCACACACAATCACAGAGCATCTCTTCTTGAGGGGTGTGTCCTGAGCAAAGAAGCCAGGATGAGAAAGACATTTGTCTGTAAGAACACAGAAGGTGAAATTAATAATACCAGGCAAATAAAGTACAACAAAATTATATGTACAAAATGTTTCCAATTTTGTTAGAAACTACATATACATATGCACAAGACTACCAAACGCTCAGCGTGTTATCAAAAGCACGTATCAACATCCCTTCTTTAAGTGTATCCTGACTTCAAGATTAAAACCCAAATTCAAGCCAGGCAAGGTGGCACATGCCTGTAACTAACTCCAGCACTCTAGGAGGCTGAGGCAGGAGGATTGCAAGTTTGAGCCGACCCTGGGCAATTTAACAAGTTAGCAAGACCCTGTCTCAAAAACAGAAAACAAACAAACAGACAAACACCATACCTCAAAATAAAAATAAAAGGTCTCAGGATGTAGCTCAGTGTGAATCAGGCCATGGGTTCAATCCCTGGTAAAAATATATAAATCCATACATACTGATTCAAAGAATCAAAGCTCTCAGATCTGGAAAGATCTTAAAATACTTCCCCAAGCCTTTATTCCACCCACTACTGCTTCCCACTTCCTGATATGCACCCACCACCTGTTCAGTTTATCAATCCCCAATCACTGGCTTCTGTCCGTTTCGTTCGTAGTCAGGCTGACACGCCCCCTGGTATTCTCTAACGCAGCACTGTAATAAACATCCGCCTATTAAAATACAACACCCTGCGCACTACCTGAAGTCACCATTCCGCCCACGGGAACACCAATCTGGTGCCACCACCTCTCCATTCCAGACGCGTTTACTGAGGCACCCTACTCGCGAGAGTGTCCGTGAGAACAATGGGCCCTTGTCTAAGCGGTGAAACCTCCAACAGGCTTCAACCGAGGACAAGGGCCCCTGCTCTCCCAGCCTGAGAATCCCGGCTGGCGTCGCTCGTGTTCTTGCGGACACTCCCGAGCTTGCTGTCTGCCTGGCACGACTCCAAAGGCCTGGCAAACAAGAACACAAGCACCACCGGAGCAGCCCAGGAGGAAGGCGCTGCTTGACAGACAGAAAGCCAGGTAGCTGCCTCAAGCAGCAGAACCCGCTCAGTTAATGTAGAGAAGCAAATGCTAGTCTTTGCAAACCTACTTTCCCCCGAATTCAGAACGCTCACACTCTCTCGTTTCCCTCCTAACACCGTGGATGTGTAAGTGGCATCTGTGTGTGTGTGTGTGTGTGTGTGTGTACAGACATGTGTGTGTGCTCACAAAACTCAACTGACCAGCTGGACCTGGCAGCTCACGTCTACAACCCCAGCACTAGGGAGGCTGAGGCAAGAGGATCGCCCCTGACTTTGCGGCCAACCTCAACTATACAGCAAGACCCTGTCCCAAAAAAACAAAAACAAAAATAATAAAAAATCAACAGACACTCTTAGCATTACAACTCCAAGTTTGGGCATCTCGCGTGTGGACTTTGAGATCCTGTACTGCCCTCAACTTTAATGCTGTCCTGTTACTTCTTTCAGCGTCATCTTTGGGGTCTACTCCCTGATGGCCTCATTCCGGGTTTACACATGGAAAGCAGGAAGTAAAACCTCAAGGACATACTCTTGTATTCGTTGTCTTTCCCAGGAGCTGAGGACACCTGCCTGCCCTTACTGGCTTCACCACTGGAAGCCAGTGAAAGACTCACTGGCTACAGCACACTTCCGTCCCAAAAGGCTACTGGTTTCATCTTTTCGGGTGGGGGGGTGTATGGAGAATCAAACTCATGACCTCATGCTTACCAGGCAGGTGCTATGCCGCTGACCTACATCCGCAGCCCCTGGTTTTGTCTTTGGTCTTCATGGAATATCTAGTTATTTTATGTGGATTAATATGACCTGAC